AAGAGGAAAAGAGGAAAAGAGGAAAAGAGGAAAAGAGGAAAAGAAGAAAAGAGGAAAAGAGGAAAAGAGGAAAGGAGGAAAAGAGGAAAAGAGGAAAGGAGGAAAAGAGGAAAAAAGGAAAAAAGGAAAAAAGGAAAAAAGGAAAAGAGGAAAAGAGGAAAGAGGAAAGAGGAAAGGAGGAAAAGAGGAAAAAAGGAAAAAGGGACAGGGGAAAGTAAAGAAAGAAGGGAGAAAAGGGAAAGAAGTGGGAGGAAAGAAGGGAGAAAAGAGGACAGGAAATGGAGGAGAAGAGAGGGAAAGGAGGAGTCTAGAAAAGCATTTTGGGGTGTTTATCCCTATTTTAACCCTGCCACCCCCATAATGGTGCACGGGGTGCCCCCATTCCCCCAGCCAAGGGTTCCCACAGGTCCCTCCCATTCCCAGCTCCTGGAATTCCCAGGAATTCCCTCACCTCCGCTTGCCCTTGGGAGGGCCCCTGACGAAGCACCAGTCAACGCTGACGGGCTGCCCCATGAGCTCCTGCCCGTTGAGCCCCTCCATGGCTGCCTGGGCCTCCTTGTACGTCTCATACTCCACCAGCGTGTAGCCCTGGGATGGGATTGGATTAGGAATGAGCCCAGACGCAGGGGAACTCACAGCTCAAGTTTTGGGGGTGCACGGATCCCCTGGAACCCCAGGTTTTGGAATGGGAATGAGTCCGGGCACTGGGGGAATCCAGCTCACATCTCAACCCCCAGCTCAGTTTTGGGATGCAGGGACCTCCCAATGAGTCAATTTTGAGGTTCATGACCCCTAGAATTGGCTCAGTTTTGGGGTGCACCCATGGCACTTCCCAGCCCAGAGCCTCCCCCAAGCTGAGATGTAGCTTGGGGGTCCCCACAAGCACCCCCTGCCCCTTCCCAACCCCACCTTCAAGTATCCCGTGCGCCGGTCCAGGTTCAGATGGATGTTTTTGATCTCCCCAAATTCGGCAAATCGGTCGTGCACGTCCTCCTCTGTGGCCTCCTCGTGCACCCCTGTCACAAACAGGATCCAGCCCTCCACGGCTGGGCAGGAAAAGGTGGGGTCACCGAGCTGGGAATGGAGCTTTCCCCCCAAAATCCCTTGCTTTGGGGAAGGGACATGGAGCCCCCACGGGTGAGATTTGGGCATTGACCCAAAAGTGATCCTGAGAAGGTGGGGAAGAATCATCCCAATGCTCCCAATTCTTCCTCCTTCCCATGGTGGGTCCCCAGGAAAGGGTCTGTCACCCAAAGTCACTCTTTTTTTTCACAGCTAGGAAAGGGAGATGGAGGCCCAGAGTCCACAAATCCTGGGTGAAGTTGGGGAAAGCTCATCCCAGCAGAGCTGAGCCTCAATTCAGGACACCTGTCCCCCCCTATTCCCTCTCCCTTCCCCTGGTGCCCCTGGTGACACTTGGAGGCCGTGGGGGTTCTCAGAAAGAAGCAACTCCACCAAATTCTCCCATCCCCACCTTGGGAAAAGATTATGGAGCTGGGGTTTGCCCTAAAATAAATCCTGGGAATGACAGACAGTAAGGGATTGGCCCAGCAATCAGGGCTGAGCCCTGATCCAGAGCTGCAGAGCCCCCACGAAGCCCTCCATGTCCCCAGTGTCCCCCCTCACATCTCTGTGGCCCTGGCTCATCCCCGTCCTGCTCCACGCTGTCGTAATCTTCACGCACTCGAGCGCGGGATCCTTCCTCTGGAAAGGAGGGAAAACGGGGGAAGAACAGGGGCCCCAAACTTCAGGGTCACCCAGCACCTCCCCGAGCGCCAGGGAAGGGGTTTGGGGGCATTTCGGGGCCTCACCTGAGCCAAAGCCACGGCCCTTCCGCTTCTTGGCCTTTTCTTTCAGCTTGTGGATGCTCTCTGGTGGGAATTGCAGGGAGGGAATGGGATCGTGGGAGTCAGCAGGAGCAGGGAGCCCCCCGGCATGGACAGGACCCCCTCATCCTGGCTGGAAAGGACCCCCCTGGGCTGGGCAGGACTCCCTGGTGCAGGCAGGGACACCCCCGGGAAAGACAGGACAGTTTCCCCATGACGGGAATGATCTTCCCCAGGCGGGACAGGACCCTCAGAATCCCCCCGGGCCAGGAATGATGCCATGAGCTGGGAACGACCCCCTTACAGACAGGCAGGATCCATCTCCCATGCTGGGAATGACCCCCCCAGCGCCGAGCAGGAGCCCCCTGGGAAGGACAGGAACCCCCACCCTAGGCCGGGAATAACCCGTCCCGAGCCGGGGCTGTCCATAAGGACGACGGGGTTTGGGGGCGCGGCCAGAAACGGCGGGAACGGCTCTGCTGAGCCGGGACCCGGCCCGGATCTGTCGGCGGAGCCGCTCTGGACCTGACGGTATCACCCGAACCCCGCGCTCACCGTCCCCATCCTCATCCATAGCAAAATCCTCTCCGCCCGCCTCATGAAGATCCAGCACGTCCGCCATCTTGCCCAGGATACCGGGGCAGGCCGGGAGCGCGCCGGAAGTGGCTGCCACGTGAGGCGGAAGTACCAGCGCCGCCATATTGAGAAGGGCGCTTGGCAGGGAGACAGGCGCGGCCATGTTGGAGAGGGCGCTTGGCGGGAGCGCCCGTTCCGCCATGTTGAGGAGGTCACGTCGTGTTGCTGCCGCCTCACAAAATGAGCAAGAGCCCCAAAGTTAACCAAAATCGCTGGGTTTATTGTATAAAATCCACTGCAGTGTTTATCCCGCCAGATTCCCGTCATTCCACTGCCTCGACAAGGAGCGCAACCTTCTCCATACTGAGAAAAGTTGTTAATTTTACACCTTCCACGCCCCAATCCCACAAGCAATGGAATATTCGGTTTCTTCCCTATTTTTTTTTTTTTTTTTAATCTTCCTCCACAGCAATGGAAGTCTCCAAATCCTCCTGGATCTGTTTACTCGGAGGATAAAGAAGCTGCTGGAAGTGCTGGGAGCATCTTCAGGGATTCCCTCATATGTGGAATCAGGGGAATAAATTGCAGGATTAACCTACATCAAATTTTTCTAACTTTTCAGGAAAATGACACCCCACAATGCCCCATCCCTTTTAAATCCCATTTCCAGCGACATTAAATGTTAATAGTGTTTATAGAAAGTATAAAAAATATATAAACCCCCAAAACAGGCTCGTTAGGATGTGGATATAAAAATGGGGTACCTATAGATAATGGAATTATTCCAATTTTATCCTAAAACAATGATTATTGCTGAAATATCCTGTGGTCATGCAGAGGGAAGAAGGAAGGTGGGAATAATGGAATCTGAAGGGTTTAAGGGGATAAGAAGTGGGAAAAGCTCTAAGCTGGGGTGAAAAAGGAATTCTGGCTTGGAATTTAATTCCCAGTCCGCTGGGGAAAAAGGCGAGTAAGATGGAAATTTCCAACGATGATGGATAAACTGACATTTTCTGGGGTAAACTTGGAGCTGTTTGAAGAATTCCATGTCATAAAAGGGATTTTTTTAAAGGTAAATACAGTCTAAGTTCCACATGGATACGGATACAGAGGACAGGGAACAATTAGTGCAAATCCCTCCCTCATTCACGAACTCTCCAAGACTTTTCCAACCTTCCATGACAAGGCCAGTGCTGATGTTTGGCTACAGACAGGGCAGTTCCAGGGAGAACTGCAGATCCTGGGGACTGGAATGCTGCAGGTTTATCCCATATTTAATTCCAAACAGCAGTTTTCAATCCCTTTGGATATCGCATGCGTTGGCATCCCTTCAGATTTAATTAAGGAGCTCATTGAGGAGGTTTAATTGATCCCTTTCTGCTATAGGGGGGGTGCTGGGCATTGGATCCAAAGGGATTTTCCAGAGGAAACACTGGATTTCCATGGAATCCCACCTGCTCCAGTACCGATGGGAGTTGTGGAGAGGAAAAAAAACTTGTGATTTGAACTCCGAAAATAAGGGACAGAAAAAAATCCATAGGGAACTCCCAGTTCCCTAGCACATAAGGGGCTCTCAAGGGAATAAGAAACTCTCTAGGGAACGAGAAGACTGAGGAGCAGCTGTAAAAACCGGGATGAAACCGCTAAAATCCATTCAGGAGCTTTTTTTCCCCCCTAAGTTTCCTTCAAATGTGCAAACGGGCCCCAGGATTCAGGAAAGGGCTTTGGGAACACCGGGAAGGATCCCCCGAAGGTGGGATCCTGGGGGTTCAGCAGCCAGAGGAGTGTGCTGAGCCCAGCTGGCCAGCTGCCAGCAGCAGGATGTCCTTCTTCTCCTTGTGGAATCTCAGCTCCTTCCCGGCCAGCCGGGCCTCGTCCAGCTCCCTCTCCGTGGCCGCCAGCTCTCGGGAAAGGGCGCCCGGGATGCTCTGCTCCCGGTTCACCCAGTCCAGAGCCATCTGGTTCCGGATGTCATCGTCCAGAGCACGGTGGGAATAGTGAGCCAGAACCTCCTGGTGGGAAACGGGATGCAAGGGGGGGGGAAGCTTAGGAATGGGATGGAGCAGCAGGGTGGAGGTGGAGCCTGGGCAGTTCGGGAACTCACCTGGCGTGAGCACTGGCGTTCCCGCATGGCTTTCAGGCTCCCGTTCCAGTGCAACAGCTGGAAAACCGTCATCAGCTCCTGGGGTGGCAAGGAGGAGGCAGGATGAGAGCAGATAATGAACGAGGTTCGTGGAATCATGAGGTGGAGTGGGGCAGAAAGGACCCTGTGAATCCCCCAGAGCCCGGGGGGGGACACTGGACACCTGCCTGCGTGGCTCTGAGCCACTTCTACCTCGGCCTGGATTACTTCCAGAGATGGGGCAGCTTCCCTGGGCATGGGTTCAGCCAAAGGCACCACCAGAACCAGGACACTGGGGCAGAATTCCCTAATTAATCTGGACTACAATGGAGACAGAACCTCCAATGCTCCCTGTGTCCTGGGAATTCTGGCATTCTCCTCTCCAAGCTGAGCCACCAGCACCACCAAGTACAATTCCACGTTTTCCATCAACCTCTCCCTTCAGGCCACGCAAATCCTGCTTAAAAACTGGGATCTGTTAGGCTTCTGAAACCCAGATGGAGCTGGGAATCTCCATCCCTGTAAACAGGGCCCTGAACATAAACACCTCCTGCCTGTCGCCCTGGAGCAGAGTCACAGCCAGATTTCTCCTCTAATGAAAATCCAGCTCCAGCTTTGTGTGCTCTAGAATCTTTACCAGTCCCTACCCGAGGCTAAGTTGAAATTAAAAGGATTCAGGAATCTCAAGGAACTATTGTAACAACATCCTGGGATGGACAGGGAGTTCCAAACCTGATTTCCCTGGCTCTGCTCCTGGCTCTTTCTTCATAAAAGTTGGAGTAAAGCCCAGAGGACTCTCCATTCCCAGCTCTTCTCCTAATCCTGATCCATTTTCCAGAACCTTCCCTTGGCAGCCCAGACTTCCCACTGTCCAGATGCTCTTCCCAGCCACATTCCCACATTCCAATGGGATACAAGGACAGCCCTGTGGTTTGGGGGAGTGTCACGACATCACTGACGCCCCATTTCACAATCGAAGTATCTCTGGGGGAAACATCTTCCCATCTTTCCTTGTGAGAGCTCTTGCTTTGCTGTTCCCAGGGAGAGGATGAATCCCACTAATTAACAGCAGTCCACGACTGCAATTAGGACATTTGGATGTGCCACTTGGAAATATCACAGTGGCAGTGAGTGAGAAACCAATTCCAAGGCACCTGGAAGCACCCTGAGTCTGATCAGAATCAGAAGGAAACCCTGAATTCATTTTCCATAGAAAAGACCAAAAATGCAGCTGGCACACCAACCCAAACATCCCTTAACCAAATCAGGAATGGGACCTGGGTAGATTAGGAACAGGATTTGCAAAAAAAACTGCAAACAGTACCTGGAACTCCAGCATGGATTTTCCTTTATTGGACTCCAGCATGAAGCGGAAGGCCCCGATCCCAGTGTTGGGATTATCTGCCTCTTCTCGGTTACCCTGCAGAGATATTCCAGACAGGAGCTGCCATTCCCACCCGGATCTGCCCCTGCTGCATAATCCCCACTCCCAAAATTCCCAGTGGGATTCAGCAGAGTCTGATGCCAGCACTGTCACACTCTTATCCAGCTAATCCAGCATGGCATGGGCCAATCTGGCACTCCCTGGACAAATCTGAAACAGCACCTGGATAAATTCGGCTCTCCTGGAGCAACGAATCCCCTGGGAAAAGGATTTTTCATGCACTGATTCCAAGGTTTTCACAACACCCCGGAGACCACGGAGCACCATGGTGAGGATTCCCTCCGAGATAATCAGAGGAGAAAAGGGAGAAAGCAAAGCTCCCATTGATAGAAACTAAAACTCCTGGAAAATCTTTGATTTAAGGGAAAACTAGCGGATGTGACAACCCTGTCATGGAACTCCCACCCTGGAGTGCAGCACAAAGAGCAGAAGAGAGGGAATTAACCTACACTTAAACTCCACCAAACCCTCCCACCCAACCTCTAATCCTTGAGGTTTTCCCCAGGATTTTCCCTCATCATCCTCACGTTGAATGATGCCAGGGCCTCGGAGACACTCTTCTCGATGAAATCGTCGGTGATCCGGCGGGAAGGGTGCTCGTTGAACACGGAATTCATCAGCGCGATCTTGGCTGCGCTCCGGCGCGCCTCCGCCTTCGTGGGGCAGAACTGGGGGGGACACAGAGCCACGGTTCGAGACATTCCCAGGGTGCCAGCAGCCCCCCACCCTGGACCGCTGGGAATGGGAACTGAGCGGGGGTGGAATTAGGGAACCACGCTCCCAGAATCAAAAGAATCAAAAGAAGTTCGGGACCTCCCATTGCACTGTCAGCCTCAAACACAAACTGCTCCCAAATTTCCCCCAACGAGCAGGATTTTGGGATGGGGTGACCCTGTGGCTACTGCAAAGGCTTCCTTTGGGTCCATTCTCTCAACCAAGAGGAAGGGGCAGGAAAGAATCTGGAACACAGCCAGGACTTGATGGGAGGTTGAGGCTTTAATCTCTTCGGTGAGGGATTTTGGGTCAGGAGTTTTCCCAGGAGGCATGAAGGAGTGGATTCCTCCAGGGGGATGCTCCCTGCCCACAGCACAGGGTTGGAATTGGGAGGTGTTTAAGATCCCCTCCAACCCAAGCCATCCCAGGACCCTATGATCCAACGTTCTGATTTGATTTCCAGAGTCTTTTGGCATCTGGAGGGACAAATGGGACAAATCCTGATCTGCAGCAGAGGAATATTCCTCTGTCAGTTTACACCTCTGCCCAATCCTGGGAAGGAGAAGGAAGAACAGACCCAGCCAATCCAAGTTTTCCCTGATATTCCATCTCCTACCTCAGCACTAAGGTGCAAGTGACCAGAACAGGGAATAAAGGGCACCAGAAAAGCACAATCCACAGACAAATCTTCCCATATTGGGATCTGGTGGGGATTTACAGGCTAAGAGCAACTTGCAATTCAATTTCCTTGAAACTAAAGAAGTTTTAGAGCCAGACACGGGCTGGAATGGGCAGGAGCCCCCACGCAGGGTGGATATATTGGGGAAACGATTCCGGTGGAGTCCGTGCGAGGCATTCCGGGGGTCGGGGTCGTACCTGGAAGCTGCCGAAGCAGCTGCCCCCGGGCAGGGTGACATAGCAGACGTAAGGGGGGCTGGCGGCCGGGACCATCTCGTAGAGCACCAGGGCGCCGTTGCGCAGCTCGGCCCCGCGGGATTGTTTCATCTGCCAGAATTCCTGCAGCGCCTCCACCACGTTCACTGCCGGACACAGCCAGGATCAGCCGGGAGAAGAGCCGGGAAGAACCGCCCGCGATGGGCAGGGGTGGAAATGGGCAGGGGAGAAGGAAAAGGGGCGAGCGGGGAAGGAGAAAGAGGGTGAGGAAGGAAGGAAATGGGGCATGACAATAAGGAAAGCGGGCATGGAAATAAGGAAAAGTGAAAAACGGGAGGAAGGGGAAAATCGGCTTCCCCGCCTCCGCTCCGTCGGCATCCCCGGTTCCTCCCCGGTCCCGCTCACCGCGGCCGTAGCCCTGCGTGTGTTTGGCGAAGCTCCGCACCACGGCCTCCACCGCCTCCCTCAGCACGGCGGGCGGCCCAGGCACGGCCCCGGCCCCGCTCCCCGTCCCGGGGGGCGCGGGGGGGCCCTGCAGACCCAGCGGGGGCGCCGGCGGCGGCAACCCCAACCCCGGCCCCAAGCCTGAACCCATTCCCGGTGCCGGTCCGAGCCCCGCGGGGGCCCCGGTGAGGCCGGGCCGGGCCCCACGGGGCCCGCCGCCCACCCCGGGCTGCAGCCGCTGCGCCCGCACCGCCTCCATAGCCGCGCTCCCTCCTCAGCGCCGCGCTGTCAATCAGCGCCCAGCGGCCCAATAGGAGCGCCAGGCCGGGGTGGGAGAGGCGTGGAAAGCACCGGCAGACCAATCACAGCTCGGTGCGCGGCTTGAGGGGCGGGGACAGGACTCCCTCACTAACACAAATAGCGGTGTGTGGTCGCAGGGCGTTAAAGGGGCGGGATTAGGGGGCCATCGTCCAATCGCGCTGCGGGATTTGTTACATTGACGGGGAAAAATGCCGGAAGGACAAAACAGCAGAGATGGCGGTACCGGATGACAGCCGCGCTCTTGCTGATCAGGAGAAGCAATTAACGGCGAAAGAAACCAATCAAGCCTTTCGGCACAGATTTAGAGGCGGGGATTTCGGCTGTCGCCCACTCGTGGCCTCTGTTATGGTAGCAGCGGGCGGGTCCGCGCACAGCCAATGGGGACGAGCCGCGGCGGCTGCCGGAAGTGACGTTCTGCCCGGGCTCGGGAGCGGGATCCAGCCATGGATGCCTGGGTGCGCTTCAGCGCCCAGAGCCAGGCCCGGGAGCGCCTGCTCAGGTGCAGCCTTGGCTCACCGGGCCCAGCGGGCGGTCGCCGGGGGGCTCAGGGCAAGAGGGTTGTGGAGGTTCGGAGGGGGCGGTGGGGGAGCAGCGGGGATTACGGAGAGCCCGGGGAGAGGGGTCACGGGGGGGGTGGGTGAGAGGGTCACGGAGGCCTCGAAACCCGAGGAGGGGAATCACGGGGATCCCAAAATCCCGGGGCGCCGGGTGGGCCGTCACGGATGCCTTCGAGCCCAGAGAAGGGGAGTCCGAGGCCCCAGGGTGGTGTCCCCCGTGTTTCGTGTCCCCCTGACTCCCTCGTTGTCCCCAGGGCCGCCCAGTACGCCTGTACCTTGGCTGGGGCCGCGCTGAGCCGCGCCGGGAACGGCTCCGGGGGCAGCTCCGGGACCCTGAGCCGCCTCCAGCACCTGGAGGCTCATCTGAGCCTGGGCCGCAAGCGTGAGTGGCAGGGGGTCAGGGCGGTTTTGATGGGAGGACGAGGCGGTTTTTGGGATCCTCGAACCCCCGGTGACCCCTTCGTGTCCCACTCCTGCAGTGCTGCGCTTGGGGGGCTCGGCCGAGGCCTTGGTGGGGGCCCAGCGCTCGCTGCATCTGCCTGACCCTGTCCTGCGTTTCTGCCTCACCTTGTCCCACCTGAACCGTGCCCTCTTCCTGGCCTGTGACAACGTCCTGTGGGCTGGGAAAACCGGGGTCCTGCCTGGCCTTGCCATGGACAAGTGGAGCCAGAGGTCCTTCAGGTGAGTGAGGAGAGGTGTGTGGATTTGGAAGGAGGGTTGGAAAAGCCTCCTCAGATCTGTTGGGTGGGAGCTGTACTGATGTCAGATTGCCAAGGGAGAGCGGGGAATAGCATTCCTGAGGGAGGGCAGAGAATGGAGCCCCCCATTGCAGAGCAGATTTCTGCCTGAACATAACTTTTCCATTCCCCCCAGGCACTTCTGTGACTGTTGGGAGTGGCCAGAGGCTTCTGCTGCCACTTTTTCCCACTCTCCCATCCCTGCTCCGTGTTTTTCCCAGGTATTACCTGTTTGCTCTGGTGGTGAACCTGAGCCGGGATGCTTATGAGATCCGGGTGCTGCTGGAGCGTGCAGAGGCAGCCAGAAAACGTGGGAAGAGCCCGGAAAAAAGGCCCCAGCTTCAGGCTGATGGCAGGATCCAGCGTCTCCGGCTCCAGCTGCAGCTCCAGCTGCAGCTCCTGCTCCAGGTGCTCCGGGATAACCCCCCACTTCTGCTGGACGTGCTGAGGAATGCCTGTGACCTGGTGATCCCGCTGGAAAAGCTGGGACTGTGCAGGAGCAGCCCGGGAATCGTGGGATTCTGTGGCCTCGCCTCCTCTCTGCTCTCCATCCTCACCATCCTCCACCCGTGGCTCAAGCTGAAGCCATAGTTATCCCAGGGGATTCCTTGGGACGTTTGGGAATCCTGGGGGTGTATCCCAGGGGTTGTGGCACCTCTGGAGTTGACTGGCTCATTCCATTCCCATCATTCCTGACTCCTTGGAGCCACAAGGTTCCAGCACTGGATCCAGTGTTGGATCCCACAGGGACATCAGCTCCCAAAATGCGTTTCTTCCCATTGACTTTTTCCAGCAATTTTAGGGGTTCAACTTTCCCCCTTTCTGTCCAGGAAGCACCTTCAACATGGAGCCAACTAAGAGGGAATAATCGGGGCTGGAAAATGTGGATTGCTGGGGGCTTCTCATGGTTTTTTGGGGAGGTGAAGCCATGGGGTTGGGACGATTCTGGTGCCAGATAATGTATCCGACCTCAAGTTGTTTGGACAATTTTCCTGCCTTGTAAGAAATCTGAACGCAGGGAGCGAGGAATGGAAAGAATGGGTTTCAAGGATAAATCCGTGCCTTTGGGGGGAAAATTCAGGCAGCAATTTACCTTCCTGAACCTTCCATGAAAGCCCAGGGGAAGGAAGTGACTGGAGCGAGTTGTGCCAAGCTGGGGGGATCACTCCCAGCATTCCCATATGGAATTCCCTCTGCTGGAGAACACGGAGGGGACTCCCGTGTGCTTCCCAGCACATCCACCTCCCTTCCTCTGCCCAGAGCTGCACAGATCCACCTCGGCTGCATTTCCCTTCCCAGATAACCCTGTTCAGTGGCGTTTTTTGGGGAAAAAAAAAATCAAGTGTGGCTGGTTCTCTGTTGGGATTCCCTGCACCTGGTATTCCTGGTGCTAATGCCTCGCCGAATTCCCCTTTTTCCCTGGGTTCTGTGACACTGCACGTGGTCCCAACCCAGCTCTGGTGTCTGTTACTAAGCCCTGGACCAAGGGACACACTGGGATCTGGGAATTATTTAATACTAGAGTCAGATTATCCTTGGATCTGTCCCTGGGAGAGCAGGAATATCCTCTTGAAGGTTTTTTGGGAGCTCCATACTGAAACTCCACCCACTCCTGGGCCCATCTGGGCTGTGCCAAGGGAAAACCAGGCATTGTACATCCCTGTGGTGGTAATTAAGATGGGTGGGAAGGGCTCCAGGGGAATCCCACAGTGTCAGTGTAATTAATTAATTAATTAATTAAATTATTAAAGTGCAGCGACCTCCAGTCCTTGCGTCCTGGGATCTTGGGAAATGCAGGACACTGGGAATGGGCTGGGAATCACCCAGTCACAGAATATCCTGAGCTAGAAGGGACCCACGAGGATCACTGAGTCCAGCCCTGGCCCTGCACAGACTCCACAGCAATCCCACCCTGTGCCTGAGAGCGTTGCCCAAATTCTCCTGTGGCTCTTGAGCCCATTCCCTGGGGAGCCCCAGCTGCCCTCGGGGGAAGAACTTTATGCTGATACCCCCCTAAACCCGGGAGGGATCCCCAAATCCTGTTCCTGGTCACAGTGGGCAGAGATCAGAGCTGCAGATTCCCGAGGTCTCCTCTAGGATGAACAAACCCAAGAGCCCTCAGCTCTTTGTGTGGCCCAGATGCTTCCCCTTGTGTCCTTCCTTTGGATACTATCCAGGGATTTATTTGATGTCTTTTTTTATGTCGTGGTGCCCAAAACCGACCCCAGGACTGAGGGTGAGTGCCCAATACCCCCCCAGGACATGGATGTCCCTCCTGGCTGCCAGGCTCAGACCCAGCTGGCCACTGGCCAGCACCTGCAGCTGCTCTCCAGCGCCTCATTTCCCATCTGTCCATACATCCAAGGTTGCCCATCCCAGCTGGGGGAATGCTGGGGGCACGGGGATGAGCTGGGAATGCTGGACTGGGAGTACTGGGTTTAACTGGGAGCACTGGGCTGGGACCCTCCCGTGGTTTTGGGAGATTTTGGAGAACCTTGGAACTGAGGAGGGAACATCCCTGCTTTTCCTGGTGGGCACAGGGGGATACCGAGTCCCTTCCCTGTCCCATCCCATTCCCATCCTGTCTCTCTGCTCTTCCTGCCCCGAGCCTGGACCAATTTCCCAATTTCCCAATTTTCTGCACCCCAGGGGCTCCCCCGGAGAGGTTTGGGGTGGGGAGGGGGAGTGTGAGGTGCAGCAGAGAGATTTGGGGGCAGCGAATTGTCCAGCGATATTTGGGCATTGGGAAGAAATAATCAGGAGTTGAGGAGGCTCCCCCTGTGCCTCAGTTTCCCCTGTGACCCGGGGGGGGGGCCTACCTGTGCTGGTGGGGCCTCACCTGGGCGGGGCTGTCTGTGGCCACAGCTGGAGCTGCACAGTCGCTGTTTGTCTGTTTTTCTCCTCATTCCTTGGTTTTTTTTTTTT